GATTATATGCCACCATTTATGACTGTATTCGCATGGTACCGCGTTCATTGAACGCGCTTGAGCCTGCTTTGCAGGCTTACCGTCTTGAATAAAATCTTTAACTTTACATAAATGAGCTTGAAAGAAGTATTCGAACAACATCCATGGAGGTCATTTAAGAAGTTCAATGAAGCAGCAAAAAGTTGGGGATTTACTAACAGAGCTGAGGTTAAAAAGTTCTTTGACAAAAATGTTGTACATCAAACAAAAATAAACCCTTACGACTACTTTTTACCAATTTACTCCAACACTCCTGACGCATACCAATTTGACACTCTCATTCAAAGCAGAAAAGGAGGACATAAACCATTCCTCATCTTCATAAATGTTAACACTCGTAAAGCATATGCATATCCAATGAAAAATAAAGGAACTCGTGAAGTGTTAAGAGTTTTACAAAAGTTTGTAGCAGAACATAGCCCAAGTACTTTAACATCAGACCAAGACAGTGCATACCTCAGCAATGAAATCACAGAATTTCTCATTAAGCATAACATAACTCACTACACTACTGAAGACCATAACCATAACATACTCGGCATTATAAACCGCTTCATAAGAACGCTCAGAGATTTAAACCAAGAGCGAGACTTTACCGAAAAAACAATGAAACATTTTCTCGAAGTATATAATTCCTCAACACATTCTACAACAGGACATACACCAAATTCAATGACACAACAACAAGAAGAAAAGTATATACAAAAGAAACGAAGCCAAACACAAAATATCAGAAATTCAACACAATTTACACTCATTCCTGGTACAAAAGTTCGTGTAGTTCTTGACGACAAACCGTTGACAAAGAAACGTTTAAGGTTAAGTCGAAATTATTATATCGTAGACTCTACGCAAGGTAATGGATATCTTATAAAAGCTGCTGACGACTCCATTGCATTTTACCCTCGTCATAAATTAGTTGAAAGTAGTAATGGCAAACTTGCTGAAACCATTGACGAAGCAAAGCGAGGAGTGGTTATTGAAATACTTGGCTACAACATAAACGATGACACTTATAAAGTAAGATATGAAGGAGGCGTTGAAGATGTTATACCATCTAAGAACTTGAGAGAGTCGAAGCCAACACATCTGGGACCATTAGAGCGGGAGTACTGGAAAGACAAAAATAAGCCAGAAAGAATAAGAAAATTCTTCTAAACTTTTTCATTAGATGTAAATCAGACATGAACGAGAACAGTCATGATATCATTAATGGTACCATTTATTTACACCAAAAATAATTTTTAGGGTAGATGGGTATATCTAACCTCATTTCTACCCTCATGAATTTTCATGAATTTCCTTAAGATAGAAAAAATAAAGTTAGTTTTATTTTTATTTATTTTTTTATTTTGTATGTAAGAACAGAAATGTCAGTCGAAGCAAAAACATTCACTAACAAATATAATGGCGAAACATTCACAAAAGGCACTTATAACGGTATTGAAGTCTTACGTAGAGACAAGGATGGTTACATTAATGCAACAAAGATGTGTCAGCAGTTTAGGAAAGACTTTAGAAAGTTGTTGGAAAATAAGTCCTGGGAAGAGTATTATAAGGCGTTTTGTGAAGAATATAGCAACAGTCCGAATTCCGGCGGTTGCTTTTTATACAAAATTCATGCAGGAATTCCTGATGAAATCAAACAGGTTAGAGGAACGTATGTAGACCCAAGACTTATAAACTATATAGCAATGTGGGCTTCTCCAAAATATTGCATAGCAGTTGGAAAAATTATGGACTCCATAGACAAGAAAGTTCATGAGAAATTAGATGAAGAAAAACTCGAAGATACAGTAGAGAATGCAAAACATTTGTTTGAAGAAGAAGTTAGAAAAATGCATGAAAAACAATTAGAACATGAACGTGAGATATGTTATGGTTATAGAGATTCTCCATACGAACTAGACCAATGGGAACAAGAAGATTTAAAGAGAGAATTTAGAGAATATGAACTCGCTAAGATAGCATTAGAAGCTGCAGAAAAGAAGTTAAAAGTTTGGGGTCGTTTTGTACAAAAATATTGTGAGTAAATGAACTCATTATTTTTTTGTCATAAATGACCAAAAAATAATGTTTAGGGTAGATGGTTAGATCTAACCCGATTTCTACCCTCATGAATTTTCATGAATTTCCTTAAGATAGAAAAAATAAAGTTAGTTTTATTTTTATTTATTTTTTTATTTTGTATAAAAGATATGATTTCAACAATCGGCACAACAACAATTCAAACAACAGCACCAAACTCGTTAGTCATGAATCCAACATCTATGTTAGTAGAGATGAAAAGCTTCATTCCTTCTTCATTTACTTTCGAAACAGAAATACAAAGAATAAAGCAGGAACTTTTAACAAGTAATTTAGACTGTACCGCACAGGATGAAGAAAATGAAGAATATCTTTATGACATGCAGGACATTATTGACCATTTACCCAAATTGCCTGAAATCCAACAACAAAAGCTCACTATTCCTGAATTCGATGAAATAGAAGTGAAACCAACTGACTCAGTAGAAATAAAGAAGTTCATACGAAAGGTAAATTATGAGTTTCTAGGATATCATTGCAACCATAAAGTTATGGACAAAGATTGCGACATGGTATATAAGAACATCTCTGACATATATAAATCGGGGGAGTTTAAGACATATGACAACTTTGTTTCATTAGTTGCAAAATGTGTATGGCAGATAAGAGATAAAGATAGAAGAGGTAAGGTATGGAATGAACAGATAAAACCAACTGCTTCAGATTTAAAGAAAACCATTGACGCCTTAGTTGTTTTAGCAGGTAAGGTTTCAGAATATAACGCAAAAATGAATCCGCAATGTTCTAAATGTAAAGCAGCAATGAGGAAATATAACTATTCAGTAAAAGAGATAGAACGTATGAGAAACGACCATGCAGACTTAAAGAAAGAAGCAGAGAAGCCGGTAGAAAATAAAATGGACATGTTAGCATTTCTGAACAAAAACTATCCAACTGCTGACGATTTCCTTCTATCTGACGTCAAGAAGAAGTATAAAGAAACTTTCGGCATTGTTAAAATTTTTGATATCCTCAGCGAAGAAATAGAAGCTACAAAACTGTTTAGAATCTCACGAATTCATAACGTTTACCATGTAAAACGGTTATAAATAATGAGGGTAGAAATGAGGTTAGATATCGGGTTAGATCTAACCATCTACCCTAAAAATTATTTTTGGTGTAAATTTCATTAACTGACTGACTGACGGCACAAAGTGGCTTAACGAAAACATTAATATATAAAATTCATGAGGGTAGAAATGAGGGTAGATATCGGGTTAGATCTAACCATCTACCCTAAAATATATTTTTATTGAATTCAGCACAAAAATAATGAATTTCATTAAGACAGAAAAAATAAAGTTAGTTTTTATTTTTTCGAATTTTTTATTTTGTATGTAAAGACAGTAATGTCAACATCAGAGAACACAACAACTGCTATCGTTCATGAAGCCATAAATGAAGAATACGAGTACATACAGTATAACAAACAGTTACGTCTCATTCGTTCAGTCAAAGATGACATGTACCAAATGCAAAGTATAATGAATGCTCTTCGTTCTACAAAGCAAGCATATCATTGGTTTGAAAACCAACAGACAAAAGAACTTTTAGAAGAATTTTCTCATATAGGGTGTCCAAAGGTGTGTTTAGCACAAACCTGAATACTGCGAATAGAAATAAACAAGTTACATATATATAAAGTTTATTTAAATATAATCACCATTGGATTCAATCACGCGTTCGCAGCGATCGATCCAGGCTTGAAAGACACGCTTTAAATCATCATGAGAAAATTGCTCAAATTGCTCTCTTACAAAATTTTCAAGATCATCTGGACTCGCGAATTCGCGTCCTTCAGCTCTCTTTTTTAGCGTGCCGAATAAATAAAAGTCAGAGGGTGCAATATCAGGTGAATAAATTGGGTTTGGAACAACTTTGACATTGTTTTCCACCAAGTAATTCATTACCTTATGACTTTTGTGAACTCTTGAATTATCAAAATGAATTGCAAACTTTTGTTTTTGTTGTTTGGATTTCTCAAACTCATCAGAATTGATAATTTGAGTAAGAACATTGTCAATTAGATACTGAGCATTCATCGTATTAGGTTTTTGAAGAATATCAATTGCGATGATGTCATTCACGCCCCAAAAAACCGACAACATCATCATTGGTGTGTCAATTTTTTTCTTTGGGAATGTTTGCGGATTTTCATCCTTCGGGATCCACATGATTTTGGCTTCTGTTGCATATTGAAACCAAGACTCGTCCCCTGTTACTAAAAAGCGAAACTTCTTGGATTGATACGCACCCAATATAGAGAGGAGCTCTTTCGAAGATTGGACTCTAGATTTTTTTTGAACTGAATTAAGGTTGTGCGGAACCCAACGTGTATACGCTAGTTTGTAGTTCAAATAATTGTGCAGATAATAATTGACTGTTGTACGTGGTATCTTTGTCATCTCCTCTATCCTTCTGAGTGATGCTCTTGGGTCTTCATCTAGCGCTTGAAGAATTGCTTTGATTTTTCTTTGATCCGGCGATTTTTTGTCAATTTTTATGATGGGCGCCTTTTTGTTCATGAAGTGATACATCCTAACATGATACGTTACAGTGGAATAGCTAGGAGCATCCATACCGAAGCATTTTACCAATGTCTCGTAGATTTTTTACAGTCTTTGCATTTTTTTGCAAGAGCGAGGATGTTTTCTTTATGATTCATTAAAAAAATGAAAAAAATCCCGCCAAAATTTCCCGCGAAACCGCCTCTTGTCTCAAAATTCATTTTATATCCCGGCATGGCGCCAAAATACAACATACTCATCATATACATATATTCATATTTTTTATTATATATTTATAATCAGCATATATCTCCTTTAATAGTCTCATATAGAGCGCTGTGCTAAACGCACCTTTGGACACCCTATATGATTGCTTCCCTCGGAAAACCGGGGGAAGAGATTCCGTATGAAAATCGCAAGAATTTGGCTCCTGGTTTGAAAGGTTATTATGTTCATAGACTTTTAGTAAATGCTGTAGCAATGTGGGCTTCACCTCGTTATGCTTGTTATATTTTCATGATGTTAGATGAACTATATAAAGCAGAACGTGGAGAGATGGAAAAGAAACTTCATGCAAAAGATGAAGTCATTGAATCCAAAGACAAAAGCATTCAGAAAAGAATACCGCGTTCAGTACCAAAAGGAAAGGAAAAGAGTTATAAGTATATGATATATACTGAAGAGTTGGAGAAAGAAGAAGACAGTGACATGGTTATGTTGCATTTAGTCAGAAGAAACAACAAAAGCTTTTACGACCTTGCTAAGATTTACAAATCTGACAGAAATTGGTTCTATCGCGAAAACTTACCGATTTCAATGACACCGAATGAACAAATAAAGGAAATTGTCAAAAATACTCTTCCTCAAACACACTATGACATCAAAGGTTGCACAATACTTACATTCAAAGAAGACTTAACATTACTGAAGGAAAAAATAACAGAATATTTCGATAACTTCAAAGAGGAAGAATAAAAAAAATCTAAGCTAATTTTATTTTTTTTATAAAATTTTATCTCATATGAAAGAACATGAATTTAGAATATTCGGAACTCATGACAGAAGAAGAGAACGAACAACATGCAAAAGATTATGCAAAATTTCTGAAGACATACAAAGCATTTAAACAATATCTAAATGCTTCTAAAGATTATGCAAAATTTCTGAAGGTATATAAAGCTTATGAAAAAGCGTATGAAAAGTTTATACATTGGGGAATTGTTGTAAAATATCGATATGAAGACTAACCAAAAATATATTTTTGCTTAAATAGCTTCAGGGTCTATTTCTTCAACCATTTCACTTCCTTCGTCAATGTCAATAGAAGCTTCTTCAACCTTTGGTAAGAATTTATGTATAACATCTTTGTTCGTTATTGTCTTCAGAGATGAAGGATAATATTTCACATTTGTTTCACCTTTCTTATATTCTTTCTGTTCGGAAAGATTTAAAGCAATACTGAAGAAGTCAATGTTAGAGTTCTTTATGACAGTATAGTGTGTATCTTTGACATTCACGAAGAAACTCTTTTGTTTCAAAACTACTGCTAACTCTTGTGAAGTATAACGTTTGCGGTCAATGACGATAGCTAATGGTCTGACATACTGACCAAACTTAGATTCTTTCACAAACTTCTTGTTAAAGATAACATTAACGTTTGTAGCACCATTGAACTCATTCTTGATGGCAGTAGCGAGAGCATTGTATGAAAAGAACTTGCAATCTTGCATGTGTTTCATTAAAATAAAAATATTAAATTATTTTGAAAAATAACTTTAAAAAATCTAATCTAATTTTTTCAAAAAATATTTTTTTTATTTCCTACTAAAGATGTACCGGAAGTTGTCTAAGTTAGAACACTCGGAAATAAAACAACTTCTTACAGAAGCTAATATAGATGTTGCAAAGCATTACGCAACAAACAAAAAAGCACTCGCTGACTTCATTAAAGACTACAATGGTGAAATAACTTATGATAGAATTCATGAGTTCATAAAGCCGCAACGCGGCGAGGACGAAGTCCATGCAAGAGCATTTCCTTTAAATGACGTTGCTATTGACTTATATCATAGACGTTCAGTACCTCATGAAGTAAGAAGAGAAATGTTTGACATAACAAATGCAAACGTTGGTAAAACACGAAAGAGAGACGACACACTGAAACAACAGAGAAGAGAGATGTTTAAAAGTGCTATAGAACAAGTTCGCAAAGCTAACGATGTCATTCGTTCCATTGACGACAAACCAAAAGAAGGTGAGAGATGGTTAAAGAAAGATGAAGAGAATAGGAAGAGAAATGTGAAGTCAGGCAATAGACTCATTGACTTTAACATCGAAGCTTTAGATGAACCAAACAGAGACTACTTACACAAACATTTCGGTAAGGTTTTCATGAGACTCTTAGAGAAAATTAAAATAAACTCACAACAGAGATGGATGGTATGTTATAAACTTGGTGGAAAGTATGAATGTTCTACGTTAAACCTCAATAATATTGGAACATTACTACATCAGCTCTTGAAGGAGAACTTTATATCAGAGATAGAAGCAAATGCTGCAGGTATTGTTGAAATGCACTATGACTTCTTCTTGACAAACATAAAGAATCTTACTGAAATAAAGATGTATGATTTAACAGAATATGAAGGCTTAACGATGTCAGATGTAAAGAAAGGCAAACCAAAAAAGAGACCATATAGAGATGAAAGCACACTGACAAATGACCAGAAAGCCATTTTGGAAGCTCTTAAGCAAACAGGAAACCCAGCACTTATAGAAAGCTTTTGGAAAATAATGGTGAAAAGAAGTTTTATAAGAAGAGAAGCGGTCAGTTCTGGAAGTATCTTTGCAGATTACCTATAAATCTTGAACGCTATCAAATTTTCAATGAACTGAACAAAAGAACTGCAACACTTATGACAGAGGACAATTGTTTCGTTTATGCTTGCATTCAGGCTGGAGTAATGAAGAAACTATTGACCACATGAGAGAAGTCATTCGTGTTAGAGACTTTCCTCAAAGTAAAGTACAAGAAATTTCTGACGCAACAGGTATAGCATTTAATGTTACCATTGTTATTTCAATGACTCAAGACATAATGAAATAAAGAGATACATACCAAAAGAATGTGAAACTGTTAGAACTATTGACTTACTTCTTGTTGAAGACCACTACATGCTAAACGAAAGATTACCAATGACAACATATTTCATTCGCAACTATATAGAAATCTTGAAGGAGTGTGGTGGAATGAACATTGAGAAACAGATGAAGATTTATACAAAGAGAGAACAAATATGTAGTTCGTTATGATAGAACAACACCGTTATGGGATGTTATGAAACATTGTGGGAGTGCAAATATTTCGAACCTATTTCTTATGGAGAACTTTTCACATATACTACTGACTTATATAAACAGAACCTTGCACCATTTAAAGACTTGACATATGCTCCAAAGTATTGTGTACAACTGAAGAAGAAAGCCGAGTCAAAAGAAGTAAATAAAAATAAGTGCAAGTTCATTCCTGAGCACGTTTTTCTTTGCTGACTTTGAGTGTAGCACAGACGGCTTTCATAAAGCTTTTAACATCTGTTATGACAGTGAAGATGGTTCAGTGAGTGAAAGCATTTGGGGTCAGAACTGTGCAACAGAATTTTTGGAGCGACTTCCTGATAAGAGTTTAATATATTTCCATAACCTCAGTTATGACATAAACTTCATCTTAAGACACATGACAGAAGTGAAAGGAACTCCATCATTAAAGGTTCACGAACAATGCAAATAACTGGCTTATATAAAGGAAGGGCAATTATTATAAAAGACTCTTACAGTGTTATAAATAAGAAGCTTAAACTATTTCCTGCTATGTTTAATTTACAAACAGGACCGAAAGAAGTATTTCCATATAACTACTACAGCAGTGTTTTGTTAGCAAATGACAACAGAACTGGTGTCATTTCTGAAGCGTGTAAGTTTATCCGGATGCGGATACATTCATGAAAAACATAGATTCCATCAAAGTTGCAGAATAGATGAAAACCACTTCGACTTAGAAAAGTATAGCACATTTTATTGCAAACAAGATGTAAGAATTTTAAGAGAAGGTTTTGTTAAGTTCCGCAATGACATATTGAAAGAATTTGATTTAAACGTTTATGACTACGTTAGTATTTGTTCAATTGCTAACAAATTATTTGAGAACAGAGTGTACTTCCCGAATGGAAATTTATATGACCTCTCAAATAAACCAAGAGAATTTATTTCACGCTGTATTCAAGGTGGAAGATGTATGCTGTCAGATAACATGAAACAAAAGAGTAAAGAGAAACTCATTGCTGATTTCGACGCTGTTTCATTATATCCATCAGCTATAGCAAGACTTTATACTTTAGAAGGAATTCCAAAGGTTATGAAGAAAGAAATGTTAAGCAAGAGTATCTCATGAGACATTTATTCGATGACGACCAAAAGGAACCCATTGGTGAAAAGTTTATGTCTGGCTTCTTTGTTCTCATTAAGATAACAGAGATTGGCATACATAGACACTTTCCTTTAATAGTTTGTGACCCTGAACTAAATCCAGAACTTAACGTTCCCAGAAGTTCAAACACTTGCTGTTTAATGTATGTTGACCATATAACATTACAAGACCTCATAAAATATCAAGGTGTCAAATGTGAAGTGTTGCAAGGATACTATTACGATGGAAACAGAGATATTAGAATAAGAGATGAAGTAAAGAAGTTGTTTGAGTTAAGGTTAAAGTATAAGAAAGAAGGAAATCCTTTGCAAGAAAATATAAAGCTCATTCTGAACAGTATTTATGGCAAAACTATTCTATCTCCTATTGAGTCAAAAATAACCATAGTAAATGACAAAGATGCTATAAGATATGCCATCAGAAACTACAACCATATAGTGAAGTTCGAAGGTTTGGATGGTTCAGATAAAACTATTTTCAAGCTAACGAAAAGCATTTGCAGACACTTTAACTTCTGTCCACTTGGTGTTAATATTCTATCTATGTCAAAACGTATTATGAATGAAGTATTCTGTACTGCAGAAGATATGGGACTTCAAATCTTCTACCAGGACTGTGATAGCATGCATATTTTCAATGAAGACATACCAAAGCTTGCAGCAGAGTTTAAGAAGAGATACGGTAGAGAACTTATAGGAAAGAACCTTGGTCAATTTCATTCTGACTTCGCAGAAATAACACCTGGAAAACAAAGTTTAGCATACAAGTCAATATTTTGTGGAAAGAAGACTTACATAGACTTACTCACGAATGATTTAAATGAAGTTGCACTCCATGCACGTTGCAAAGGTGTCAAACAAGACGTCCTTGCTTTAACAGCAAATGAAATGTTTCCTGAAGCTATACAATGCTATTACAATGAAGATAAGAACATTCACATACCTGTTGGAACATATGACAAAGACTCCGAGTTCAGTTTAATGAAACTTTACAAAGCACTTTATGACGGTCAAGAGATTGCATTCGACTTATGTAAGTCTGCTACACCTGCATTTGAAGAGAAGTTTAACTTCTTAATAACGACTAAAACAAGCTTTATTCGTAAGTTGAAGTTCTGAGGTCATTTATTTTTGTCAGCAATGAGGTCATTCGTGATAAAAACAATGAGGTCATATATTTTTGTCATTTATGTATAACCATTGTCTCTCTTAAACTTTGAAATAGACAGCTTTGTTCTTCTTCCTTCTACATCTGTAATGTTTATATAATCTTTGTTATACTGTCTTAAGACATTCATTCGTCTGTATTGAGTTCCCATGAAATAGTAAAAGGCATCTTCACTTGGGACATAGTAGTAGTTCTCTAACGTGTGATATGAGTATTGTATAATTTCAACAGCGTCTTCAGGAAGAGAGTCAACAATGTCAAACCAATAGCCATTTGAACCAGAAATATTTCTCATGTTTTCTCTTCTTGTCGTCCATCTAAGTTCGAGATATGAAAGTCTCCTCTGTCTCTGTTTATATGGTCTACTTCACGAAGTCCTTCAGGGTTCGGAATGAAAGTTTCTGCAACTATTCTATGTTTCATCAGCTTGTGTTTGTTTAAATTTACACAAATATAACCATCTCCTTGGTCAAACTCACTAACAACTCTTTTATTGCTTATACGTCTAATTGGATAAGGGTACTCTGAAAAGATTTCATAGTCATTGTCATGTTCGAGTGTTTGCCAATGTCCTTCACCTTCCATGCCTTTCACTCAAATAAAATTTTCAGAAAAAAATAAAACTAGCGTAGATTTTACAATACTGCGATTGTAGAGTTTAAGAGTTGTGCTTCAATGTAGAGACAGTCCTTATGGTCTGGAGGTAAGAACACTGGGCAGTTATGGTCATGAGTGGAGAACATGTCTATCCAAAACTCACGATTGAAGCCAGTTAATTTATAGTATTTAGGGTTAGGAAGTGGTGAAGTTCTTGTATGACCAATGAACTCATTTTCAACTCCCTTACTTAAGTTTGAATATAATATAGCTTGCTTTCTATCCCAAATGCCAGGTGTTACAATCTTTGAAAATTCATTTTTCCTCGGAAGCATTGCATCATAATTGAAAACATTCTTGAAATCATCATTGGTTCAGAGATTTGAAATCTTATACGTAATGGATTTTCTTTCTCTTTAGCGACTTCATTGAATGGTGAGAATACAACAAACTGACAGTCATGTGTTCCATCTTCATTTTCATTAAATTCATAATGAAAGTCTATAAGTTGTGGCTGACTACCTTCTTCTTTCAGTTGTGCAAGAAACTCACGTAAAGGCTGTAAAGTTTGTACTTCAATGTTGAACTTTTTCTCGAACATTCATTAAATGAAATCATACATTGCAATGTTGTATCGTCTTTAAAGTATTTGTATATGTGAATGTTTTGGGCGCTTAAAGACTGTTCGTCATTTTCTATCTCGACTTGAAGTATAAAGTCAACCTTTCTGAAAGCACGTGTTATATACATAGATGTTATGCCAATGTACTTCTCTTCATTTATGTTCACAATCCAGTCTGTTGGAAACTTAAACGTTACTCTGTTCCCCTTTATTTTGACGTCAGGGTTTTCACTACTGAACGCAACAGATAAAGGTATTTGTCTATACATTTAATTCGATAAAAATAAACCATTTACTCTTTCTTTGCTTCAGCTTCTTTAGCTTTTGCTTCAGCTTCTTCTCTAGCTTTCTTCGCCAGCAGTGGGTTCTTTTGTCTTCCAGCAGCTAATGCAGCAAGTTGTTTTTCACTAAGTTTTCTCTTTGGTCTCTCTGGCTTTTGTTCTTGTTTTTGTTCCTTCAGTTCGGATAAAATTTGCTCACGAATTTCTTTCTTCAATGCTTCAACATCTATGACCCCTTGGGTCTTGTCCGTAGGGCTTGTCTGAGTCATTTGACTGCAGATAAAAAACAAAATTAAAACTTTAACCGATGTAAAATGAGCTTGTCAAAATCAGAGCGAGAGTCTATTATATTAAATGACGCAAGAGGAATACAACATCCTTTCTATTACGTAAGTCAGAGTAAAGATGGTAAAATATACGTAAGAAAAAGAAGGTTCCATTAGCGAATACAGAGAGCGACAACATTAAGGTGCATGGCACCGAGGCGAAGCCCATATAAAACCTTCTGTTCAAACTGAGCCACCAATAGAACCAGAAGAAAAGAAGCAGATGTACTTTCAATAACGAACCAAGAGCTTATTGCAAAGTTCGTGAATTTCATTGAAAACAAAACCGAGTCAAAGAACCCTGACCGCCAGTGAAAGAAGTTGAGACAAAAGAGAATGTACAGTTCATTGAAATGTCAAGAAACAACTTCCACCACGAATGCCAAGAAGAAGAGTGAGAATAATGAAGTAAATAGATATTTTTATCTGAAGTAAATACATGCAGAACGAACAGTTAAACGAATTTACTCCAGCAGAGCATATTCATCAGATTCGCTCATATTTCGATATCATAGACAATGCAGTTCAAATTGGTGACACTAATAGAAAATATTCTGACGCAAAGATTCCATCACAACCTGGAATTGCTAAAGATAACACATGGGTAACATTCAATCTCTCACCTCCTGGTGAAAATATGTTGGACCTTTACAATACATTCATTACGTATAAAATGGAAGGTCAATTTATTGTAGATAAAGAAATTGGTTCAGGTTCCAATAAAACAAACCCACCAGGATTTTGGATTGGTTTCGATGACGCTTTCTATGCAGTTGCTGGATATCAAATCCTTGCAAATGGTCGTATCGTATATTCTCAAGACAACGCAAGAGAAGAAGCATATATAACTTCAAACTCACAAACTACCGAACAAATAAAGAAAGTAGATGTTTTCTCAAAGACTCGACATGAAGATGTATGGAGTCATTCGGGAACATGCAGAACAGGACAAATTGTTAGTGGGCCGATTACAGCAGGAAAATCATTTGATTTTAAGCTTCGTTTAAGAATTCCTGTTAGAAGATTCCTTCCATTAGAAGCTATTCGATTTATTCCAGCTTTGCAGGAAACATTCAGCTTAAAGTAAAGTTCAGTAGCGACGCCTTACAATGCACATCTATATCTGTAAATGATATCATTGCTTTCAATCCAACTCTTAAAGTTGCATTTGCTTCAGATTCAAATCCACCGACAAATAAATTTGTTCCATGGAATGAACCATTCACTATGATAACGAAGGCAGTAGAAGCTAGTGGAACAGTTACTATTACAACTGTAAACCAGCAACTATTTCGAACAAAGATGGATTTTAATGAATGTTTCATTCATCCAAAGTCATTCTCTTTAGACCCTAACATTTATACAGAACTTGTAGAACATTATACAAACGAGGCTTTATGTTTTCCTGTTAAAGTTATGGATTGGATTCCTATGGACGGTTCATTCTCAAAGAATACAGATAGTTCAAGTGCAACATTTACAGCAGCTTATACGCCTATTAATGTTAAAAGTATTTGGGCACTATTTAGAAAGAAAGACAACTATTATGTTAATTTTGAGAACCCTAAGTTTAAATATCTTCAGCTTTCCATGGGAGCTTATGGAAATATGCCTGCAGAACCTGAAAAATCATATGGACCTGTATTTTATGAAATGGTTGCGAAGCCTGCAATACAAACAATGATATGATAGGATTTAATGAAGATGTTATGAGGTCATTGGTGGATGATGGTAGTGTGGAACATAAATGGGATAGCTATGACAACACACATTTCTTATGTGGTTTTCCAACAGAAGTGGACTTTTGCTTCCAGCAAGGTCAAACATCTACTGCTCCAATAACATACAAATTGACTGTTAAAGGACCTATTGAACTAGCAACTGAAAATGTACCAAAGCCACTTATTGGATTTATGAGGGATTGTTGCTTTGCCATTCAGGTGCGTGCTAATGGAATCCCAATAATAAGATTAGATGACTATAACTTAGCTGCGGACGACAGTGAGGAATAAAGGATGAACGTTTATTTTTAAAGCTTATAAATGAGTTCTTCATCAAGCTCTCGTGAACCTTCACCATCTGTGAAACAAACTTTACCAAACGATTATGGAGCACCTATTGAATATTTCTTACGAGCTGCACAATGGCAAAGAGCAGTCTCACCAAGGTTAGGTGTTCCACCAGCTCCTGTCAAAAATAGCATTTGGTCAAGTCCTTATATAAAATATGGTCACCCACTAGGTTTGCTAGCTACAGCAGTAGCAGTTATGATGTTGAAAAGAAATAAAGCAAATGTTGTAAATAATACTGAAGTAGCTGAAGTTAAACAAACTCCGACACCTTCACCAAAACCAACGTCAAAACCAACGCCTACACAAGCAAAACCTTCAATGACTCCTGAACCTATGGAAGTACAAACTCCTGTTCAAAAGTCAACTCCTAAACCGACTCCAACATTTAAACCAGAACCTACTCCTCAAATAAATCGTAAAACTCCTGCGTTTCCTTACTGAAAAAATAACGTTATTTTTATTTAATATTAAAATTTTATTTAGAGTAAAATGACGACTAAAGTCACTGAAGCAATGAAACAAAAGTTTTTGGTAGAATACATTAAATCAGGAACTATTCCAGAAGGTTTTTACATTCCTACTATGAAGGATGGTAGAGTTCAGTTTAGAAAGATAAAGCAACCATTAGATAAAGAAGGAATTTTGAGAAAGATTAAACTTTATGAGGACAATATTGCTGAACTTAAGAAGAAGCTAGAAGAGTTGGAGAAAGGAAGAGAGTTATAAAGCAATGAATTCAACAGGGTAGAAATGAGGTTAGAAATCGGGTTAGATCTAACCATCTACCCTAAATTTATTTTTGTGCTATGTTTTCATACGCGTGAAGGTAGTGATATCATTAATTTTTAAGTTTATTTTTTATTTTATTTTTATTTTATTTTTATTTTATTTTTATATAAATGACGAAAACTATTGAGATAACAAACTACAACGGTCATGAGTTCAAGAATTTGTTCTTCGTTCCTCGTGAAAATACATTCTATCAGATACGATGGAGAAAGGGTAAAGTTAGTTTGAGCGTTTATGAAGGAATGAAGAATGAAAAGTTTATACAAGCATACGATACAAACGGTAAGCGTGTTTCATTAGCTTTGTCAAAACTTACTAACATTTATTTTGACAGTGATTTTGACCTATATGAAGAAGAAAGTGAGTCAGAAGAATATGAACTATTGTGTGAAGCACAGCAATGGGAAGAGTTGCAATACTTTTGTAAGTGAGAACGTTTATTTTTTACAGTAGTGAGGTGAAGTGGTTGGCGGTTTTGTAAATATTTAAGGTTAAGTTGGTGTTGTCGTTTGTGTTGTAAAATATACGTTAACGGTTTTGTAAAGTGTCAAATTCACATATAATGGGTAAGGTGGAGCGTAGTGCCTCAGTACACATGATATGTATTCTATCTAATTTAACAGTTAGCGGAATTTATAATGTTACTCTCGTTTCTGTGAGTGGTAAATTTAATCCCATTCTTTTAGACCCTTCAGATTATATATCATTTATTAAAGATGACCTTGAAAAAACGTATGATATGTATATAAATAATGTGATAGCGAAGTGGGATATTAACATGATTTTAAGTTATTTAAATGAATCATTTATCGTATGGTATGAAGAAAATTTTAAATCAAAACCCGATAAACTTTTTGAACTTGATGAAATAAATAACCTTATTAAATTTCCGCTGAAAATTAAATTTTGTACTCCTCATCTTCGTTCATTGTTGGGGATATTAAATTTTGAAAAAGATGTTGGGGATGTTTTGTATTCTGACACTGGTTCCAATTTCATTTTAATCAAATGTGATAAAGTTAATACCCCAATGAGATTTTCACATCAAACATTAGACCCTAACTCTTACCCATCAATACAAAACATTTTATCCATCAACTTAAACACATTTTCTTTATCATATCCGTTTCAATTATCCGGGAATTCATTTATTCTTCATTCAAAAGATTTATCAAATATTAAATTTAGAATAACTGACCTATTTGATTGTGATTTAGAATTTATGAATGAAATATTATGGCAATTTCAAATAGAGAAAATAGCTGATGAGATAACGGATTAAATATTTATTTTTAAATCGTAATAAATGATTAAACAACAGCAACTTAAGGCGCAAAGCGCCCAGGTCCTTCAGACCATTACATACGCCACATATGCATATAATTCAAAGACGGCAGAACAAACGCAAAGGTTGAAATATGGAGATTTGGAGATAGTATTGAAAAATGACCATTTCGAATTCGTTTGCAAAGGTGGTGCAGTGATATCAAATATAAAAGAAATTTTATTTATGAATTCAAAAATTAAAGGAATAACGGATGATATAACATCAATTCCACCAGAAGAACAGAGATATTACGCATTAAATGCATTTCCTAAAGTTTTGAAGATTGGAAGATTTAATTTAAATGAGGAATTCATAGAAGGTTTCCTAAATGACATAATGAAGAAGGTGGATAAGGAATACGTTAACGATGAAGTAAATAAGAGAGCAGATTTAGTTTATGTTGATGAAAAAGATAATGAAATTAAAGAAAAGGTTGAATGGTATCATGAATGGACATTGGAGACTTTTAAAGTTAAAGCTGATACAGAATGGGTTTCAGGATGTTTAGACCTTAAAGCAGATAAGGAATACGTTAATACTGAATTAAATAAGAAAGCAGATTTAGTTTATGTTGATGAAAAAGATAATGAAATTAAAGAAAAGGTTGAATGGTATCATGAATGGACATTGGAGACTTTTAAAGTTAAAGCTGATACAGAATGGGTTTTCAGGATGTTTAGACTTAAAGCAGATAAAACTTATGTTAACGATGAGTTAGAGAAGAAAGCAGATAAAACAGAGCTTCAAACATTAAAGACTGAAATACTTCAAACATTATATCCTATAGGCTCTATTTATACATCAATGAACTCAACAAATCCCGCAACAGTTCTGGGTTTTGGTACATGGCAGCAGATTGTAGACAAATTCTTATACTGTGCTAACTCTTCAAAGCAAACAGGAGGCTCAAAGAAAATTAAAGAAGCAAACCTTCCGCCGCATAAGCATACAGGAACTACAAACTTTTCTGGCGACCATATACACTCATTAAGAGACCACCCATTATACAACTCAGACTATGAAGCCGGTCATGATGTTTTATCTCCAGCTTATAACGATTCAACAAAAAAGACTTTTCGACCAACTGAACCAGGAGGAAATCATTCACACACTTTCACAACAAATCCAACAGGCTCGGGTGAAGATTACATGCCACCTTATATGACTGTATTCGCATGGTTCAGAGCTGCTTAAAGTCCTGAGCTCCAAAAGAGCGAACAACATGACATTTAGACAACAGGTACGAAAGGAGGAAGGCATTTATGAATTATTTTTGAATAACTGAAGGTGTCACTACGTCACCATGTGTCACCTGGTTAATTAACTTCTCTTAAAAATGATGACAACATGACATTTAGACAACAGATACGAAAGGAGGAAGGCATTTATGAATTATTTTTGAATAACTGAAGGTGTCACTACGTCACCATGTGTCACCTGGTTAATTAACTTCTCTTAAAAATGATGACAACATGACATTTAGACATCACAGCAGGATTAATGCAAAAATAAATTCCAATCATACTTTATACTGCAAGACCTTCAGGTCTCGCCGCTTAGCGGCTCATTTACAGGTATTTCATCGTCAGTAAATGAATCCTCATTATCGTTGGTTCAACCTGTTTATATAATCCTTTCATTTCTTCTTTCAAAACATAACACCATGTTTGTTTACCATCTATTCTTCTCTGTTTCCTTTCACATTTATCCTTAATGCTCATTTGAAAGTTTTTGTCTTTCATGTCTGATGGTTTGCAGAATAGAGCATTTTTACACGTCATACCTGCACACAATTCATCATAATGTGTATTTATCCATTCATCTAAAGGATTTGTTGATAATTCAATTAAATCTTGTTTGGCTTCAGTCATCGGTATGATTCGTACATTAAATGATGAA